AATATGGAAAAGTTCAAGGGGTATGAATACTTTTGCAAACCACTGTATATATATATATATATATATCCTTTTAATTTGAAAAAGGTTCCAGTCTTCTTGCCACCTCCACATGAGTTAAGATGTTTAGCACCAGGAGCTGCTGATCATCATCAGTCGGACCTGGTTAGTTCAGTTTAAAGCTTTGGAGCCCACAGGTCTGACCTCGGTCTTTTCACCTGCGTGTTTCTCTTGCAGAGGCTCATGGCACACCTGCACTCCCTGAAGTCTCCTCCATACGTCATCAACTTGGACCCAGCTGTGCACGAGATCCCATTTCCTGCCAACATCGGTACGGATCGGTCTATTTACTGGATGTGTGAGGATCTCTGTTTGCTTCCAGTTGCTTCAGCGTCACTGAGCGTTTGTCCGTGTTTGTGTGTGCCGTTCTGCCTGCTCCGAGCTGAACCAGAACCGTATCCTGGTTCAGATTCAGTCTGTTCGACCACATCCAGTCTGTTTTGTTCCTGCTCCGCCCATAGCTCCCAGTCTGTCCTCTTGTCTGCAGACATCAGAGACACGGTGAACTACAAAGAGGTGATGAAGCAGTATGGCCTCGGACCCAACGGTGGCATCGTGACATCACTCAACCTGTTTGCCACACGCTTCGATCAGGTGACCCGCTGACGTAAAGCTCTGAAGCTTGAACTCTAATCTGAACTCTAAATGTGTAAAAGATCATAATTTTAACTGTAAACTGAGAAATCTAAAACTCCAGTGTGAAATGAGTAACTGGTTTCTGAAAGACTGAAAATAGTTAGACAAATCTCAGTTTTTGGCTCAGTTGATGCTGATGTTGAGCCTCTGGTTTTAGATGGAGGGTTAGCACCATTAGCACCATGACAGCAGGTGGTCACTCCACAGTAAACTAACGATCCTGCAGATGTTTTTAGTCTGATTTTATCAAACTTGGTTCAGATTAGTTGATGTTCAGGGTCCCTGCTCGGCTGTTGTCTCATCACACGGTGTCTGTTTCAGGTGATGCAGTTCATCGAGAAGAAGAGGCAGAACCACCGGTCAGTACCGACCTGTCGCCAGGTTCCAGAGCTCTGCCCTGATTGGCTGATCCTTCTGTCTCTGTGTTTCTCAGGTACGTCCTGATTGACACTCCGGGTCAGATCGAAGTTTTCACCTGGTCTGCGTCTGGAAGCATCATCACCGAGGCTCTGGTGGGTCTGCGGCTCACTTCAGCTCAGCGCTGGAGTCTGATGCTGGTCCTGAAGTGTGTGTTTGTGTGCCCCAGGCATCGTCCTTCCCCTGCGTGGTCATCTACGTGATGGACACGTCTCGCAGCACCAACCCCGTCACCTTCATGTCCAACATGTTGTACGCCTGCAGGTTTGTGTTCAAAATATAGTTGTGACGTTTTTCCCCCCTTGCCTAAATCTTTTTTTGCCTTCTACTTTATATAACCCTTTTCAGTTAGAATGAAAAAGACTAAAAACTCTTGGAAACCATGAATCCACATGTGGACATTATCTGTGCAAAGATTCATGCTGCTAAAATAAACGAACAAAGTTACAGAAGTTTTATAAAGAAATAACTCAGAGTTTATCATTCTGCACAGAATGGATCATTAATAATACGGCTGCAACGATACAGAAAATTCACAATTTGGTTCAATACTTTAGTCTCGCCGTTCAATAGTTTTTCGATACAAAAAAGAGAAATTTCCACACTCTTGTTAACTTGTAATATATTTAAATTAATTATGAACATTTGTTTAACCTCAAAAGTCCAGTTTTTAAATTAAATGTTGCTGAAACAGCAAGTTTCTCAGTGGATCCGAGCTCAAAAATACAGCCTAGGTGGAGTAGTCGAACACAGATCCACTGATCCTTCAACACAGAGCATCTTCAGAAGACAAGTTGATAAAATA